TTAAAGACAGGGTCTATGCAGCCCTGACTGGCCTGGGACTCACCATATAAACTACCCTTGCCTGGAACTCCCAGAGATCTACCTGACTCTGCCTTCTGAGTGGTGGAATTAAAGACATGGGCTACTATGCCCAGCCAATTATTATTTTATGTGTATGAGTGTTTTGCCTACATGTAAGTTAAGTGTACCCAAGGAGGCCAGAAGAGGGCATTGGATCCCCTGGAACTGGAGGGTTGTTAGAAGCCATGTGAATACTGGGACCCAAACCCAGGTCCTCTGCAAGAGCAGCCAGTGCTCTTAACTTCTGAGCCATCTCTCCAGCTCCTAGTTTGAGTCTCTTAAATTACAGTTCTGGATATGAAACTCTGACTTTCCATATACTTACATGTCATCTTTGCCAATAAAACCCATCACAAGAACATGACTTCTTAGCATTACTGGTTCTGGACATGGTATCTCTGCTGTGTTTAGCCTGTGATGTAACATATAAAGGGATAATTGGAAAGTCAAAAGTATATAAACAAACTACAACATCTGTAAAGCATGGAAAGAACACTGCTGCTAGGAAACAGCATCAAGTCTTCTCAATTATATTACTGTGCTTCATAAACTCTAAGATACCCAAGATTTTAAGTGGCAACATTATATACCACTATTAAACCCCATAACCTGTGACATTCAGTCCACTTCTATATATGTGTGTATATGTATATATACATATGTACATCTTAAAATTGATGAGCTATAGATGTTCACAATTATCTTTTGAATTATCAGCATGAAAAATATGTAATAAAAATTATAATATTCGTACCTAATAGCTAGTTGTACACAGGAAGATTTTGGAAAGACTCAAAAACAAGTGATACTTGCTTAGTAGCAAATTATACCTGTGTAAAGCACATAATAATGACTTACTGTTATACCCATTGATAAAAGCTTCTCTCAGTTCTCACCAAAGAAGCTTCTTGCAGCAGACAGGTATTGACACAGAAACCCATAACTAGTCAATGTGCAGAGAATAAGAGACTACAGAGTGCTCAGCTCTAAATGGGATGACTGTATCACACCTTTTCCTCCCAAGGCTCAGGGATCATTGCATTTCAGAAGAGAGGGCAGAAAGGTTATAAGAGCCAGAAGCGGTAAGTGCAGGCAAAGGAACTGTGTTTTCCAGACACAATAGGGTAATCACACATATGAACCCACAGCACTTGTGACAGCAAGAACAAGACAGGGGGGCAAGCCCAAACCAAATAAAAATCCAGCATGGAGGGGGAAGGGCTCAAGAAGCACCAGTCCTAGCTGAGGAAATATTAACAAATGACAGCTGCTGGGAAAGGGAAGTCTATTTTCTTTACGGGTGTGATGGCAGGTAGGTTGACCAGGCTCCAGGGGATGGACTCACACAAGAGCATTTGGGGAACACAAATTAGACTTGATAGTCCTTAAAAAATAATAGGAGAGTCAGGTATGGTGGTGCACACACTTAATCCCAGCACCCAGGAGGCAGAGACAGGTGGATCTCTGAGATCAAAGTCAGCCTGGTCTACATAGTGAGTTCAGGCCAGCTGAGGTTACAGGGAGACCCTGTCTCAAAAACCAAAAAACAAAACAACAATAACAACAAAAAACAGAGGACATGAAGGGGGATAGGGAGGGAGTGATTTGAGAGGAGATGGGGAGGAGGTCTGAACACGATCAAAAACACATTGTATGAAATTCTCAAAGAGTCAAAGTTAAAAGACACTTGAAAAAGAAAACCCAGAAACTTTAAGAAATGACGAGGTGAGCACCTGACAAGGTTTGTCTGAAACTCCAATAATTTTTTTTAAATGACATCATCATTGACTGTATCATTTACTACCAAAATTCCTGTAAAAAGCCTTTATCTGCCTCAGCACAAATTCTCCATGTTTCACATGGCATAAGGCTCTTCAAATAGCAAAATCCCTCAGCTTAGTTCAGCATATTTAGTAACGCTACAGTCTAAAGAGTCTCTCCACTTAGACAGAAATGGAGATCGAAAAAATGTTGGGTGCAGCAGACACAAACACAGAAACACATGAGCATATGTACAACCCCAGGCACCTGATAAGGTTTCTCATTTCCTTTTCTGCCCACGTCTTCACCATTTTCCTAGGGTTTCCTTTACAATAGCCATGACGAAATCTTAAATAAGAACAACATTTTTTACTTTAATCATTGCATGATTGTTTTAGCACTTGAAGAAAAAGAAGTTAAAGAATCTGGGCTCACCTGAATTCCCCAGTTACATACTTATCACGATCTTTGAACACCAAAATAGAAGTTTTATAAATCTTGATTGCTCTGCTCTCTCCACTGGCTGTGCTAGCATGGTATACATTAGCCTATTTTGAATAAAAAACAAAGAAAATAAAGCCTGTGCTAAATAACTACAGTGGTTTACTTTTCCAGTTGATTCTAACCTCCAAAGTAAACTGAAATAACATCCATAAGTAATAACACCATCTTCTGAAGGTGTGAATTAAAATATCCAGGCCTCTGGGACTTTGCTCATACGAACCTTTAGCAATGGTAAAGCATGCACAAGGCCCATGTAAACTCAAGCAGACAAAAACCTAGGACAGAGCTGGGGAAATGGGCAGCAGGCCCCAACTTTGGCCAAAGAACTACTGGCAGCTGATTCCTGCTGGGAGAGGGAGAGTTAATCTTTTTAAGGGAGAGACTCTACACAGGCTGACTTGACTCCAGTGGATGAACTTGCACTGAGAGACTCTGGGTACACAAATTTGACTCAATAAGCTTTAGTATATATGACAGAATGCATGAAATGAGGTGGGGGGACGGGATGTGCAGATGGGAGAGAGGGTACAAAGATGATTAACATGTTTTATATGAAATGCAACAAAATTCAATTAAAAAAATACAAAAAAAATCAAACACTATCAAAAAGCACAATAAATTTATCTTCAGAACATGATTGTGTGCCATTTGATCATTATGACATTTCTGTCAAAGACAGCTGCATATCCCAGAGTGGTCCCATGAGATTATATTACCTAGTGATGCCATGGCCATCTTAGTTTTTCTATGTACACACCATGATGTTCACACAACAAAGCCGCCTAGTGGCTTATTTCTCTGAATGCAGCCTATTAAATAAGGTATAACTGTATATGTAGTAAAATTCAATGTAAATATAAGAATTTGTTTTACACATATGTATATTGAATATATAAAAAATATTTAAAGATATTCTTACATTTAATTAATTCCCACAGAATGAGTTGGTAATTTAAAAAATTCATGCTCAGGCTGTCCAAATAGTTCAGCAATTAAGAGCACTGGCTACTTTTGCAAAGGACCTGAATTCAGTTCCTATTACCTACATGGCAACTAACAACTGTTCATAACTCCAGTTCCAGGGGATCTGACCTCCCTCCAGGTCTTCTGACCTCCACACAGGTGCACTTATATACATGCAGACAAAACACTCATACACATAAAAATATTTTTAAAATACTTGTCTTTTTCTAGATTTACACACAAAGAAAAACAAGGCTGACTCAGAGAAATAAGTTATTCTCTAATTCCCTCACTCACTAATAATATTTTTAAATTAGGACTCAGGCCCATAGTGATCTGACAATCTAAGCTGGGCAAACAGATTCAATGATACAATGCAGCAGTTATGCTGATCAGGCAGTTACATATACAATTTCTTATCTGTTAACTCAGTAATTATCAATCAAGATAGTCTCCAAAAACATTGTTAATAAACTGTGACTTTTCTCTTCAAAGGCACAAATTATTAGTGCCTAAGTTGTACTTGGTATCTGAAGTAAGAAAACTAATGTGAAAACATTCAGTCAGCCCAAGAAAAGCTTACTTCTTTTCCAGTGCTAATGCAGCCATTTATCTCTGATATTATTCCTCGGGTCAACATCTTGAATAAAATCATCCTTGTTCTGGGATCCAAAACCTAAAAAGAAATTTAAAAAAAAAAAAAGTTCAATCATGAAACAAATCTAACTGTAGGCCAATAAAGATAGAGACCCAGCGTAGGCGATATGGCTCTGTGAGTAAAAGCACTTTTCATGCAGGCCTGGCAACCCCAGTTCAAGCCTCAGAATTCATCCACATAAAAGTAAATGGACCGAACGACCACACAAAGTCATCCTATGACCTCCACACAGGTGCCAAGGCTTATGTGTTGCTCCCTTCCTAAATTATGTACATATACATACAATAATAAAATTTTTTTTAAAGATACAGACCCAGACTCTGCTCCCACTTGTCTGATTCTTCAACGGCACAAGTGGTTTTGGACTACAGGGTAGCTTCTACTCCTTAGGGGGTTGTGAAGGTACAGGACAGAAGAGGTACTTAAATCTTCAACCAAGGTGCTATAGGTCCAGAGGTTACTACTTCAAACTGTGGATATGTGCATATATGTATGGGTAGAAGAGAGCACAGGTAGGTAACAGAAACAATAATATAAACCTTTTTCTTTCTTTAGAACAAAAATCTGGGCCAGACTGCGTGTGATGACACACACCTTTAACCCCAGCACTTGAGAGGCAGAGGCAGGCAGATCTCTATGAATTGGAAGTCAGCCACAGCTATATATTAAGACTGTTTAAAACAAAATAAATCTGGGCTGGGGCCACTGCTAACCTTCAACCACATTCTCCAGAGCCAGGCATGGTGGCACACATCTTTAAATCCAACACTCAGGAGGCAGAGGCAGGCGAATCTCTGTGAGCTCAAGGCCAGCCTGGTCTACATAGTGAGTTCCAAGCCAGCTGGAGCTACAGGGAGACCCTGTCTCAAAAAGACCAAAAAAAAGAGAGGCCAAAGACCACCCTCTCCACAGAAATAATTAAGTGTATATAGTTTCTACACAACAAAAAAGTGGATTTCTAGTTAGAAAATTGAAGGTAATATACCTTTTTCTTTCTCTCCCCTCGTCTATACCGGAACCCTTGATACATGCAGGTATTTAACCTATTCTATGGGAAAGGTAACAAAATCCCCATAGACCTTGCTTAAGAAAGACTGTGGTATGATAATCTCTCCTTCCCCAACCTCTGAGAGGGGTGACACATCACATAGTGGCTTCAAGGGCTATGGAAGGGCCATGACTCTTACTTACCTATTACTGGTCCTATTACACAGCAAAATGTCAATCACTACACTTAAAGAATGAGTATTACACAGAGGCAATTTTAGGTAACATTAACACCAAGCAAGAAGGATAAAAACGAAGCACAATTCAAAAAGGAAAGAAATTCTAATTTAAAATAAGAAGTTGAAACAGGTTTGAACTGTACCTGTTCTACAGTTGCTCTGTCAGCCTTATCTTTAATGCGATACCTGATGAAACAAAAAAGTATAGTTAACACTCAAAATCCAGTGAGAATCCAAAAATAAAGCTTCTGCATGTACATCATTTTGTAAAAATTCCTAAGGAGTTTCTTTCATATCAGATTTCATGATCTAAATATAGACTCTGCACTCAGCGACACTTTTCTTCACTTAACATGAACTCAATTCTCCAGCAGGCATGTCCAACCTCTTTTGTATTTCTTTTTGTTGTCCTTTTTTGATTATTTTTTATTGTTTTCATGCCTGTAAGTACACATGTACATGCAATGGCAACAAAGAACAAAACAGGAGTTCAGATCCCCTGAAACTGGAGTTACTGACCATTATCAGCCACTATATGGGTGCTGGAAACAGAACCTGGGTCCTCTAGAAAAGCAGCCAGTGCTCTTAACTGCTAAACCATCTCTGCAGCTTCCTTTTTTAAAAAGCTTTAAATTTTTAAAATTTTTACTTATCGTTATTGTGTGTTAATGATGTGTGGGCACACATATGCCACTGCAGATATGTGGAAGTCAGAGGACAACTAAGAGTCAGCTCTCTCCCTCTAGCACGGGTTCAGGCTTGCATTGACAAGTGCTTTTAGCCTCCATTCCCACCCCCAGCCATCTACCAGGACACAGAAGTCTCTCCACATTCCTGAAGTATTAAATAATAAAGCACCTGGAATAAAGTAATAAAATACCATGTCCCTTATATCTTTAATGATTCTATAAGCCCAAAATTATGGTCATTTATTCATAAGGCTGCTTCTTTATAGTTTTATCATTTTAAACAGTCTTCAAAGGCAAACTCTTGATTTGCTCCAGCCCACATATGAGATAACTCAATCTAGCACAATAATCTAAACTAATAAGGATTCAAACACAAAGAGTCAGACAATTCAGTGACATAATAAGTGACTCTGGTGTTTCTCAAAAAGCTAGTTTCTTGAGAACACAGCAATAAACGAGAGGAAAGCTGGTTTCACTGTTCAGCTCTAACACTGGTAGTTGTATTATGTTCATGTTATTTTCTATAGTGCACTGACAAAACCAGAGTTATTAGTACATAAGAAAACTTAACCAGATTTTGAACAATTGGCTTTAAGAACAAAAATGTAAAGGAAACAGTTCTTGATTTTTATCACTATTTAGTTTTAAGTCTCCCCTTGAATTTAAAAAAAAATAGTTTGTGCAGGGGCTGGAGAGATGGCTGAGTGGTTGAGAGCTCCGACTGCTCTTGCAGAGGACCTGGGTTTGATTCCCAGCACCCACGTGGCAGCTTTGAACCATCTTTAATTCTAGTTCCAGGGGAACCTGATGCCCTCTTCTGACCTCCAAGGCATTGCACAACACGATACGCTCACATACATGCAGGCAATACACTCATATATATAAAATAAAAATAATACCATTTAAAAAAAATAGTTTGTGCAAATGCACAATTAAGATAAATTCTAAAAAGCTTAAGTTTACACAGTCTAAACTAAAATCTACATTTATCCTCATGAAAACATAAATTTCACAAGATTGTATCTTTTATGTTTCTCAAGACTTAATATTCTCAATTTACAAAGGTATAAATACTCTAAACAGTAAAAGCATAAGGGGCTGGTGAGATGGCTCAGCGGTTAAGAGCACTGATAGCTATTGCAGAGGACCCGGGTTCAGTTCCCAGCACCTACATGATGGCTAACAACCATCCATAACTCCAGGTCCAGGGGATCCAATGCTCTCTTCTGACTTCCATGGGCAAAAATATAAAAAAACATAAAATATGTTTTTTAGTATTTTACTTATTATTTTTATTTTATATGTATGAGTGTACTGCCTGCATGTATGTGAGTGCACCCATGTCATGCAATGCTACAGAGGTCAGAAAAGGGCTTCCGATTCCCCTAGAACTGGAGTTAAGGATGGTTCATAGCCGCCATGTGGGTTCTGAGAATCAAATAAGGGTCCTCTGCAAAAGCAGTCAGTGCTCTTAACCGCTGAGCCATCTCTCCGGGCCCACATAAAAAAAATTTTTTTTTAAATGTGTACAAGTATATTGCCTGCATGTATGTGAGTGCACCTGTGTCGTGCAATGCTGCAGAGGCTGGAAGAGGGCTTTGGATTCCCCTGGAACTGGAGTTAAGAATGGTTCATAGCCGCCATGCGGGTGCTGGGAATTGAACCCGGGTCCTGTGCAAGAGCAGTCAGTGCTCTTAACTGCTGAGCCATCCCTCCGGCCCCAATATTTAAAAAAAATAAATAAAAGCATATAAATGAACATCCTTTCCAGAACAGTTATGCTACCTAGTCTAGAGAGTCCCCATGCCCCACGTTCTGTAATGAAAATATTACTTACATATCTGCTTCTTTCTGTCTAGATTTTTCAGTGACTTTATTTATGACAGAATCAGTAACATTTAGCTTATCTAAAAATACAAAAACTCACAATGTAAATAATGCAAAAGACAAAGAAACCCACTAATAGTCTCTGACTAGGACATTCCTCCCCGTACTCCACACTGATTTCTCCTCTTCTATAGTTTCTAAATATTTTACTACAGTTAGGATATATTTTTCTTATGAGGTAAACATATAAATTAAAATATTATCTTCATTACATGTGTATTCATTATTACAGATATAGTTTTGGGGCTAGAAGTCTTTAAAATTTTAGATATAGAAAACTTGAAAATACTATAGTTACATATTAAGCCTCAGATACTTAGTATTTTGCACAATATAGATGATACAATTGCCTGAATTTCAAGTTTAATTCTGAAAGCTTCAGTTTCTTTTCAAGTTTAGGCCCATAATGAAGACCATAAAAGTTATACACATTAATTTGGCATTTATGGACAGCTTATTTGAGAGACACTGTGCTTTACACAGAGTCAAGGACCCAGAAGAGGAGAGTAAGTGTTTAATTAGCATTTTGAGCCTAGCATTCAACTAAGTCATTAACACCAACAGAGAAAGTTTCTAACAAAACAAAATAGTATTTTCAACATACTTCTATATCTAATACAAAATCCAATGAAGGGGCCAGGTATGGTGGAGCACACCTTTGATCCCAGCACTCGGGAGGCAGAGGCAGGTGGATCTCTGAGTTCAAGGCCAGCCTGGTCTACACAGTGAGTTCCAGGCCAGCTAAGGCTACAGAGACCCTGTCTCAAAAAAAAAAAAAAAAAAAAAATCCAATGAAGGACAAGAATTGGAAGAGCTCTGTAACTTCACATTCCCACAACAAATGAAAAGACAGAACTACAAAAGTGAACTAAGGTGATTTTAAATCACTAAAAGTTTTCATTTTCTTTAGCTTTATCATCAGGTCTGTACCACTTGAACATATTCACTTCTTAAGCCAATAAAAGAATGCATACCATTTCACAATATTTTAAAGAATTTCTTCATAACTCGGTGAGGCAATATATTTTATGAACTTACCTAGATTGATTTTATTTTCAAATTTTCGTAAGAGCTTATCAGCTGGAGTAGACATTCTGCCTGAATTATAGCTAGAAGTCTGTCGATTTGCCTACGAGAAATTAGTTTTAAAAAATAGGATTAGCTGTAAATGCAAATGTAGAGTCCATAATCATCTTTTTTCCTTAGGTCAGTTATTTTTTTAAACTACATTTATTGGTGGGCAGGGGTGCATCACACATGTGGTGGTCAGAGGACAACTTGTAGAAGTTGATCTTCTCCTTCCAAACAGTGGGTCCTGGGGAATGAAAAGTTGACAGGCTTAGTGCCAAGTACCTTTACCTGCTGAGTCATCTCCAGGCCCCAGTTAATTAAACCATCATAATTTAAGGAGCATACTAAGAAAAGAATTAACTTTGCTTAAAAAAATTTTAAAGACATTTGAGGGGCTGGAGAGATGGCTCAATAGTTAAAAGCATTGACTACTCTTGTAGAGGACTTGGGTTCAGTTCCCAGCACCCACATGGTGGCTAACAACTGTCCATAACTCCAGTTCCAGGGTATCCCATGCCCTCTTCTGGCCTCTGTGGGCACTGCACAACATGGGTGCACTTAACAAGCAGGGAAAAACACTCATACACAAAATGAAAATAAAAATCTAAAGCCATTTGAAAGAGAAGGCTAGAACAAAAGCCACACTGAGAATGTACTAGACATAAAAAGGGCCTATTAACAATTGCTAATTCAGTCTTGTAGATATCAGTATGAAACTCTAAGGCTGAGTTTTCTTATTTGAAAAGAACTTAAAAAGGTTTTAACTTTTAAAATAAACTTTTAAAATGTTTTGGGCTTGGGGTACAGCACTTAGATCTAACATATGCAAGGTACTGAGTTCAAGACCCAGCATCATTAAAAAATAAAAATTAACCCATGCTTCCTACCAGTAACATGAATATTTGACTGATTTAATTTTTGCAGTGCTGGGATGCACACTAGGTAAGTGCTCAAACAATAAACTACACCTCCCCAACCCAATACATATTTAATTGCTATAATCACCAGCAACCCAAAGAGCTAACATTTAAGTATATACATCCAATATTTTATTTTCTAGCTTTCTTTAAGGGGGATCAGAGTCTATGCTAAAATTGCTCAGTCTTAACAGTGAATCAATGGAAGAGTTAGCAAAATAAGACCACAGTAAATTTCTTTGGTTATTTTAAAGATGTATGCATTCTGGTGTATTTCAACAGCTAAAGGAATATATTTTTCCTCCATTCCACATCTTACGGCCACGTTTATAAACCACATTAATCCTATGGCTCTCTTGTTACTGACAGCTTGAGAAGCAGGCTCTGGTAATTGACTTTGGCACACAGTAGATCAGGAACCTACTTCTACTTCCATTACTTGTCATCCATTGCCAACACATTATGGCTTCTCAACATCTCATCATGTGAGCCAGTCCCACAGTAAATTCAATTGAGGGCTGGGGAAATGGATTAGCAGGTAAGAGTGCTTTCTGTGCAAGCATGAAGGACTGAATTAAAATCCCCAGTGCCCATGTAGAGAGCCAAGCACAGCAATGCACACCTGCAATCCCACTGGTGCTGGGGGCAGAGACAAGAGATCACTGGCGCTTTGCTGGCCTCTTACCAGGCTCCAGGTTCAAAGAGACACCCTATCTCAAGGGAATAAGAAAAAGTGGTAGACTAGGACAAAGGGCATCTTCATCTGGCTTCCCTGTATGTGCATGGGCATATAAACCCACATGTACACACAGACTACTCACATACCACAGACAGGAAAAAAAAAACTTGTAAGGTTGGTAGGATGGCTCTAGAGGTAAACATGAGCCTCATGATGAATCTGCACCCCAGAACCTAGGGTAAGAGGAGAGAACCAACACCCAAAAGTTGTCCTCTGACCGCCATACTCGTGGCTAGAGCGCACGCGCGCGCGCACACACACCATACACACTCAATAAAATAAAATTTAATGGCAACAGTAATGAACTTGCACTGAGGGACATCGTGGGACACTAACTTTACATATTAGGCCTTAATACAAATGACAGAATGTATGAACTCCAGTGGGGGGCTATGGGAGGTGCCAAAGGGGAAGAGAGAAGGGGATATAAAGATGATTTTATGTATGAAATACATAATAAAAAAATTTTTTAATCCCAACCATAAATTTAAACAAGATTGTTCCTAATGTTCCTTCCTCTACCATAAGCAATCTTGGAGGATGATTCTTGTCTCTTATAGCTGCTGGCAAAGTATTCATAAGCTTCTAACATTTTCTATGACACATCAGTTTACCTTCCAAACAATTTTACCCATTTAATTGATCATTAATTATATTTTGTGCCTCTATCAGTTTCGTAAGTGAAGAATGGCATCTCTACATACAACATTTTGCCCCCAGTACTGAGGATGTGTATTAGGGTTCTCCAAAGAAACAGAACCGGTAGAATGAATATGTGTGTGTCTGTGTGTGTCTGTGTGTGTGTGTGTCTGTGTGTGTGTGTGTCTGTGTGTATTTATGTATAGGGATTTATCAGCTTAGCTCACAAGATAGAGTGCGAGTAGTACAACAATGGCTGCACCACACTGGAGAGGCTGAGACTTTGTAGGAGTCTAGAAATTGGTACCAGAGAGTGGGATATTGCTGTGGCAGACCTGACCTTGGTATTTTGGGGAGGACTGTGGAAGCATTCAGAACTTTGGGCTAGAAAAGCCATTGAGTGCTTGGAGTTTGTTGCTGTGGAGCTTGGAACAATTATAAGAGTTGTAGACAATGGAGGCCTGGCCTGTGAGGCTTCAAAGGGAAGCAGAGACTATCAGGGCTGTTTGTGTGAGATTTTGAATTAAGAATCTGTGGGTTCTGGTTGGCTGGGGCTGAAGAATCAGCTGTGATTAAGAAGAGACCAGAAGAGACCAGAACCTGAAGTAAAACCTTTGCTTTACTAGGACAACTGATGCTGGTTAGCTGGGGCTGAAAAATCAGCTGCAAGTAACAACAGACCAGTATTATTGCGGTGAAGTCTTCTGGGAGGTATTTCCTCAGGGTCAGTGCACAGAGTGGACCCTCGCCTCTATCTCAAGCTGGAAGCAGGACTTGGTAACCTAAGAGTCTCCTGCATGGTTCTGGTGTTGAAAGCATGAAGGGGTCACAGAGAGCAGCTGAGGCTTGGCACTCTGAGAGGCCAGGAAAGGCCATAGGTGAAAGTGCAGCTTCAGTTGCAGTGAAGTCCCCAGGATTGAAGGGGTCATGGAGAGAATCTGAGGCTTTGCACCTGTAGAGGCAAGAAGAGGCCATTGGTGAAGGTGTAGCCTTAGTTTCAGTGGAGACCCCAGCTTTTTAGAGATGCCAGGATGGTGCGACGACCACCAAGGACAGCTGTAGCTGTGGAATGGAGCTGGCCTGGGTCTGAGAGACAAGCTGTGTGTGCTGTGGATGGCAGAGTCAGAGAAGTGGAGCTGCCAGAACCCTTTGGAGCCCAGAAGATTGTGAGTGAATCCCAGATGTCCAGCCTCAAGCTACTTTGCTGGACTTTGGTTTTGCTTAGGTGTGCCCAATTCTTCCCTTTGAAATAAGACAGTACCAGTTTTGAATTTTATAGAAGCCCACCCAGTTAAGAGACTTTTAAAAGAGACTATGGACTTTTAAGTGTTTGGACTTTTTAAGGACTGTGGAGTTTTTAAGGTTGTACTGTCTTATATTGTGACATTCATGTTAACATCATATCTTGGGGACAAGAATTAGAAAGGTTATGGTTTAATAGTGATGTGTTTGTGTGTCAAGTTGACAAGAGGTCAATTGTGCTGGATAGCTTTAGTGTCAAATTGACACACCTGGGTTGAGGGAGCCTCAACTGGGGAATTACCTTCATTGGACTGGCCTGTGGCCATGTCCATGGGACACCTGCTTGACTGTTGAGTTATATGGGAGGGCCCAGCCCACTGTGGGTGGTGCCACCCCTGGGCAGGTGGGCCTGTGTTGCACAAGAAAGTAGGCTGAGCAGGGGCCAGGGAAGCAAGCCAGTAAGCAGCATTCCTCCATGGCCTGTGCTCCAGCTCCTGCCTCCAGGTTCTTGCCCTGAGTTCCTACCTTAGGCTCCCTGGTGAACTGTGACCCAGGAGATGTAAGACAAATAAACCCTTTCCTCCCCAAGTTGGTACTGGTCAGAGTGTTTTGTCACAGCAATGGAGAAACAAACTAGGACAGGATGGAACCAAGGGCCTTCTCCTTCCTAGCTCTATGACTAGCTCTATGACTGAGCTACATCTCCAGCCTTCTCCCTGAACCAGAGCTAGGCTGGTGGACAGTGAGCCCCAATGATCATCCTATCTTTGCTCTCGACACCAATGAGATTAAAGGTGTGACACCTGGCCTTAGTTTGAGATAAGATCTGAGTTTTCAGGGCTGGAGAGATGGCCCAGAGGTTAAGAACACTGACTGTTCTTGCAGAAGACCCAGTTCAAATCCCAGCGCCCACATGGCAGCTAACAACTGTCCAGTAATTCCAGTTCCAGGGCATCCGACAGTCTCTTCTGCCCTCCACCGGCACTGTACAACACAGGTGCACTTACCTACATGTAGGCAATACAGACACACATATAAAATAAAAATAATAAATAAAAAATAAAATAAAATAAAACAAAAAACAGATCTGCGTTTTCCAGGCTGGCCTTGAAATTCTGATCCTCCTGCCTCTTCTTCCCAAGGAGCTGAGTTTACTAAACTGAACCACCAGGTCCAGCTGCCATTTCTTTAATTACCAATGAGCTTAAACTTTTTTCTCCCCTCAACCTTTCAAAATTTTTTCTTTTTTCTGTGCTGGGGAGCTGGGGAGCTAGGGATAGGCCCCCAGGACTTGTGCATACTAGCCAAATGCTTTACTATTGAGCTATATTCCCAGCCCCTTTTCTGGGTTTTTTTTTTTTTTTGGTCTTTTTGAGACAAGGTCTCCCTGTAGCCCCAACTGGCCTCAAACTCACAGCAATTAGCCTGCCTCTGTCTCCCAAGTGCTAGAACTAAAGGCATGTGCCACCACACCAGGCTTCTGTTTCTTAAATGATTTGTAGTTAATGGCCTATTCATGTCCATTCCTATGCACATTTTTAAGTTCATAAATCTTAAGATATTTCAGTAACTCTTAACATTTACTGATTATTTAAAGACTCCAAAGATAGGAAATTATTAGAACTATGGAGAAGGTAAAGAATGAAAATGAATAAAAAGGCCACAGGACAATATAACCTAAAAAAAAAATCCTCCTGCGACTCAATTCCAGAACCACAAAGTCTTTTAAAAAAAAAAAAAAAACACAAAAAAAGCCAAGCACAGTGGCACACACCTTTAATCCCAGCATTCAGGAGGCAGAGAAAGGGAGATCTCTTTGAGTTCAAGGCTAGCCTGGTCTATAAAGAAGTTCTAGGCCAGAGCTATAGAGTAAGAGCCTGTCTCAAAAAAATAAATAAATAAATAAAAAATAAAGAAGACATGGAGTTGGGCAGATGGCTCAGTCAGTACAGTATCTGTTATGTAAGCCTGAGGTGCTACATTCAGGTCACCAGCATCCATGTAAAAACCCAGGCTCAGTGTCACATATCATCACATATCTATAATCTCAGCACTGGAGAGGCAAAGACAGGCAGATCCCTGGAGTTCAAATGACAGGACAGCCTGGTTGAACTGGAGAGCTCCAGGCTCCTTGAGATTCCTTGTCTCAAAAGATAAGGCAGAGAGGCTGAAGAGACGGCCCAGAAGTTAAGAATGCTTACTGCAGAATCATGAAGACTAAAGTGTGGGTCCCAGCACCCACAGAGTAAGCTGAGGAGTCCCCAAAAATTTGTATCTCCAGCTCCAAGGGATTGGTGCCACCTTCTGACTCCTGGATATACAAAAATGCAAACACCTGCACACACGTGTGCACACATATATTTACACAGGTACATACACACACATTAAAAAAAAAAAAAAAGAAACCGGGCATGGTGGCACAGAGGCAAGTGGACCTCTGTGAGTTCAAGGCCAGCCTGGTCTACATAGTAAGTTCCAGGCCAGCTGGGGCTACAGGGAGACCCTGTCTCAAAAAGATAGGGGAAAAAAAAAAAAAAAAAAAGGGAGGGGGGCTGCAGAGATGGCTCAGCAGTTAAGAACACTGGCTGCTCTTGCAGAGAGCCCAGGTTTGATTCCCAGCACCCACATTGCAGTTAACAACTATCCGTAACCCCAGTTCCAGGGATCTAACATTCTCTTCTGACCTCTGGGAGCACTGCAAAACACAGGTGCACATACCTACATGCAGGTAATACACTCATACACACAAAATTTAAAAAAAAAAAAAAAAAAATTTATTCAAAAAAAAAAAAGATTAGATGGAAAAGACACCCAACATTGACTCGCACGCACGCACACACACACACAGATACAAGCAGATAACATAGATTTAGAAAATCACTTAAATACCTGTGGGTTGTTTCCTCCATTCCAGGCACAACCCTTGGTGAGTTTACCATCATCCCAGTCCCAATCACTGTCATCATCATAGTCTTCCTCTTCCTCTCTCTCATCTTCAAAGTTCTCTTCTGTCATATCATTTTGAAGGTCTTTAAACAGAATGTCTTCTTCTCCTTTAATTGACTTCAAATCTGTGTTTTCACTAGAAATGACATGACATTTTGGAATGTTTATACATCCTCTTAGTGGGGACACACACACACACACACACACACACACACACACACAATATAAAAGGAAAAATATATGCTGACATGGCCAAAGGTTCCCTTAATCTCCCAATAGGCTCCATCTTCCTCTTTTTTCTACAAAGATTTAATTTTTATTTGTATATGTGTGTGTAAATGTATAGAACATATGCACAGGTGCCCACAGATGCCAGAAAGAGGGAGTCTGATCCACTGAAGCTGGAGTTACAGGTGGTTGTGAACTGCCTGACATGGGTGGTGGGAATCAAGCTCAGGTCCTCTGGAAGAACAGCAGATGTTCTTAACAGCTGAGTCATCTCTCCAGCCCAAGCATCACCACCTTATTATCAAGCTCTCCTGTTTCTCTGATTTTTCTGCAACTATTTAATTATTCTCCATGCCCTAATTCTAGTCTTCCTATGTTAACTGTGCTCTGCGACTACATGGTGCATGAGTAGGAAGAAAAGAGATAATTGCTGAATCTCTAAATACAATTTACTAGGACTTCATAAATAGGATTCATAAATCAACTCTTTAATTCCCAATAACCTGAGTGGCATGTTACAAGTTTCAACTGCACAAAGGCTCCTAAGATCCTCAACCTCAGAACTAAGTACTTCTCTGCTGTGAGAGATTATCTTGTTCAGGTAGCATCACTGGACAATACCTACTTATCAGATGCCACCAGTGTACTCCACCCCCAGTCCAGCTGTGACATAAAAATGTCTCTTTGGTAGGGTGGCAAACTCAAACGCAGTAGAGAACCACTGGTCTAAGGTTACAATATCCTGTGTGTATGGGAGTGGACAGTAACAGTGCATTCTCATCGCTAGTCTGTGTTCACTGCCCACACTGGCTTTGTTTCTTCTCTGCACTGGCATTCTTCCATAAGGAGTTCTGTGAGCTAATCTATAACTGGAAGACTAGAAACCGCTCTTATTTCACAGGCTAATCCCTATTCATCACTCCCATATTAGCAGTTTGCCTGGTTATTTAGTATCAGTTTGCCCCAGCAGAGGACAAGCCTTGTGTCAATCAGGAGGGTGGTTACCAATATATCTCTTAACACCCAACACTAGATCTGACACAAGTGGTCAATATATGTATATTTATTGAAACACTCCCGACCGATGAATAAAATCTACACATAATGAATACATGGCATAAAATACAAAGTTCTTTCTTGGAGTTTCAAAATAACTATGTCATATTATTTTTTTTGTGAGAGTTATCTGTCAGTGTTCTTTCATCAGATCTCATATCCAGCTTAACTACCAAACCTGCCACTTCTACCTCCAAATCATATCTCTGATCCTAGCACTGCCATCTATCATGTATGAACCTGATTCTCGTGAATTGATTCTCTTCCACTTACTCTCCATAGCCAACTGATTCCTGTAACTCATAAGATTCATTATGCACCTACTAAAATCCCTCCTCTGGCTTTCTATAGGACCCTTGACTCCTCAGTAACTTGTAAGGCTCTACCTAACCCCTTTTCTCCCTTCTCTGTCTCAACCCCCACCCTTCATCCTGTTGTAGGCACTGGCCTCTTGGTCTTCCTTTCACAGGCAAGAGAGATTCACTGTAGGGTCTCTACCTGTCCTCTGGGTCCAAAAAGCAATTTTTCCTCTGCTCCTTCACGGCAATTAAATCTGGGCTTTGTTTTTTGTTTTCAGTATTGGAGATTGAATGAGGGCTTTGCCTATCTCCCAAGCTACTAAAGCTGGACTTAAACCAGTTCTTCTCTGATTATTACTCAATACATGAACCCATTTCAACTATCTGCAAAGTTTTATCAAGAATACCTGCTGCGTACAGACCCTGCGTTCGACTCCCAGCACAAACATGGCAGCTAACAACCAAAACTCCAGTTCTAGAGGATCTGATGCACTCTTCTGGCCTCCGTGGGCATTGTGCACTTACACACATGCAGGCAATACACTCATAAAATAAAGATAAATTAAAAAATTAATAATAATAGCCTGCCCTCCTTTCCAAACAGACTTGGTTTATCTTGTCATCACTATCTCCAGGTGGAAATAAAACTTGACACAGAAAGTGCTATTTGTGGACCGCTGAATATAAAAAGACGGAGGAAAAGAACAAAACGCAATGACTATCTCCAACGCAGCTTCTCGGCTCCGCTACCCTTCCTGGGAACCCACAGGCTTGTTCGACAAGCTGCTTTCAGGAACTCTGCCCGACACTAGGCCAGACCCTGAGCAAAGACCAACCACAAATGGGTGCCAGCTCCCCGAGAGGAGGCGGAGAGGGCGGACTCTGCCTAGGCTGTGCGGTCTCCGGCCGCCTACCTGTCGGAGGAGTCCGCGTCGTCAAACTGCCCGGGGACCACCCGGCTCATCAGCACCCGCCGGTAGTCCATGACGGAAGGGGCCTCTGCGTCCTCGGCGCCCCGGATGCGTCCGCGTCGGGCCAGAAACTCAAGCCACGAACCAACCCCACCTCCGCCTCACAAACCGTTCAGAAACCGCTAGACCAAGAGTGCCGACCACGTGCCGCAGCGTACCAGGATCCAAGACTACAGCCAAATTGCCCACCTACAGACCGGAAGTTGTTTACCGGAAGTTCCGGCCCTGCGACGTGCGGCCCTCCGGGAACACATCTCCTACGGTGGTCCGCAAGGTCAATCCGCGGTGTGAAGTGTCGCGTTGTTCTCCGAGCAAGGAATGCCGCCCCCGCGCTCGTTGCTCCCGAGTTTCTCGTTTCCTGCACCCCACCTGTGATTCCTGTCTCAAGAATTCTCCCACTTAGCCTGCGTACTGTCGCTGTTCGTTTTTCCGGGCGTCCAGTGGGCTCAGGCGGACGTCACACAGGCACGTTCGGGCGGCCTCGGTGAGGACGGTTGGGAGGTTTCAACCTCCTGCGAAGCAGTGGAGGAGGAGGAGGCACCCCATCCTTAGCCTGGGTCCCTGAGACTCTATGGATCGTGGAAGTGAGCACACTCCCGTCTTCGACACTTTGGTGCGTTGCTTTTAGGTGTAAATGAGACAAGTGGTTTGGGGGGGGGGGGTTGAGACTGGGTGTCCCTGTAGCCCCAGCTGTCCTAGAACTCACTGTGTAGACCAGGCTGGCTTCGATCTCACAGAGATCCACCTGCCTCTGCCTTCTAGTGCTAAGAGTGAAGGTGAGCCACCGCAGCCGGCTGAGACAAGTGTTTTAAGTTGAAGTTTTTGTCAAACTACTGAAAACGTTTTTCAAATATTTGTCATTTTAATTTTATGTATATGAGTGTTTTTCCTGTATGGGAAGTAAGTGCTTCGTGTCGTCCAGAGTCGGCAGAGATCAGAATAGGGTCTCGGATCCCCTGGAACTGGAGTTGGACGCTTGTTAGCCGCCATGTGGGTGCTGGAACTTGAACCTCGGTCCTCTGCAAGAGCAGCCAGTTATCTTTCAGGAGCCCTCTTTCCTAACACCTTGGGATCTGGGACTAGAACTGATGTGGTGTGTGCGCCTAACAGGCAGAGCACTCTGTAGGCCCTTACTGCCCATCTTAAAGCAGCTGTAGATGGAATGGGTATCCCAACATTTGAGTAACAATTTTAAAAAATCTTAACAAGCTGGCATGGTGGCGGGCCTTTAATCCCAGGACACAGATTTCTGTAAGAACGAAATCCGGGCCATCTGGGGCTGCAGGGAGACCCTGTCTCAAAGAGACCAAAAATGAATTGGCAGGTTTTGCACAGCCATAGGAGACATGAACAAACTTGTAAAAATGTAATCACAGATACACTGACAAAAACCAAAAGAGAAATGAAGCCTTTTTTGCATTTGGGAAACAATTTTCAGGATTTTCACATTCCTTTCACAATATTTATTTGCAAAACAGGAAAAGGGTGAGCTTTATCTAAGCCTTCCAGCCGCCCTGTTTGGCCTGTTGGGCTTACTCTCTTAAAAAAAAAAAAAAAAAACGATTATATTATTTTTATTGTATATGTAGGAATGTATTCCTGCACGTATGTAAGTGTACCTGTGTTGTGCAATGCCCATAGAGGTCAGAAGAGGGCATCAGATCCCCTGGAACTGGATTTACAGATGGTTGTTAGCCACCATGTGGGTGCTGAGAACCAAACTCAGGTCCACTGCAAGAGCAGCCAGTGCTCTAACCACTGAGCTAGCTCTCCAGCCTGTCTCTTTTTTTATACTTTAGCAAGTGAGGACGTAGATTAGAAAACAGTCTTGGGGCTGGAGAGGTGACTAAACAGTTAAGAGCTCTGACTGCTCTTCCAGAGGACCCAGGTTGGATTCCCAGCACATGGCGGCTAACAACTCCAGTTCCAAGGGAATCCGTCGCCTTCTTCTGACTTTCACAGGCATTGCACGACACAGGTGCACTTACACACATGCAGGCATAACACTCATACACATAAAATAAAAATAAATATTTTCTTTAGAAAAGAAAATCAAAATAAAACGTGTAATCTGAAGATTTTCTGTTCACCCATGTTACATCACACAGGGTCACTGAAATTTTGCTTTGAACAGAGAACACTCACTGTGCATGCCACCACGCCAGGCCATAGCAACAAACACTGCCTGAAACACCCCTGCTCAGATTTGAGACTCACGTGTTATGAATTGCAGTCTTTTTCCTGTCTGTACAAAGCTTCCTCATGTTAGAAACAATCATCTCATCACAAAAAAAGACTCAGTGTTTTCCTACTGTCATTCCTCAGCATGTAAATATCAAAATAATATATCTTTGGATTGCATTGTGTCAGTCAAACTCCATCTCATTAATATATGAATTTGCTTTACTCATTAATAAATGGCAAAGTTTTATGTATACCAAATAATTGTTTTAAAATAAATTTCTTCATGAATTGTTATCAGTAAGTGTGTGATTTGTATACCTATTTTATATACCTGTATACCTGGTATCATGTAAAAGTTTCTTAGACAAAAAAGAGTTGTGAGTGGGAAAAGTTTAAGAAGCCCTGATTTAATCTATCTGACCTGATATAAAAAGAGGGGGATATAAATATGGAAATTAGCGGGACCAGTAAAGGAAAAAGGGCTGACAGGACAACAGTGGCCTGTCTACAGTGGGAAGCATTGAAAGCCCTAAGTAGATTCTTTGCCAGACAATTATGATCTGTAAATACAAAAACAGTAACACCTTTGGAACAGTAGTGAAGACTAAACCATAAGCAAATAGGTGCTAATTGTGAGATTGCAATGTAAAGGCTAAAATGGTAGAAATTTTAAAACAAGATGGATAGATAGAAGGGACGATCTAGGAGAAAAGCACATGCTAGCACAGATTTCTGGAGTGGTAGAAAGCATCATCCCTTTATAGAGAAATGAGCCTGATCTGCTACAACAGGAGATGGTACTGAGTAGGTAACATGGGTGTGTGATTTGAAAGGTCAAGTGGAAGGATTTGGCTCTGTAGATGAACATAAATATATCTCCAATCTCCTGACAGATAAGTATGTTATGAGAATACAGTCAGCAGAAAGACAGGAAGGGGAATGAAAGCTTGGATTATAGACAAATGTTTTAGGAGAAACAGGATTTTATCATTATAGCTGTGGATGATGATGTAGGAGGTTCCAAGATGCAATTTTTCAACTCTTGCCAGGCATGATGTACAAAGGACCCTGCAAAAAACAACAAAAACCCAAAGTTAAACATCATGGTGGTGCACGCCTGTAATCCCAGCACTCAGCATGGGCCAGAAGGATTGCCACAAACTTAAGCCCAGGCTACATAGCAAGACCCTTACACAGACACACACACACACAAACACACAACAAAGCAAAATAAAATTTCAACTCAAGTTGTGTGGGAGAACATGTGTGCCATAAAAAAAAAAGTGACTAGGAAAAACTGTAAAGTGTTGAATTTGACTTGATTGATGTTTAAGTGGAAGAATTCAAACAGAAATGCAGTGTTTTGTGAAAACTATTAAATTTGTAATAGTATTTAGAAAATAACAAGATTCTTTCAATTTATAGGTCCCATACTTTATAGGGAATTATTGAATAGATGCTACACACATTGACTTGTTTTGTCCAAATCGCCATTTACCACCAAGTTGAAAAATGGCATTTTAGAATTTAGAGCAATGATCTTTGTTGCTTTCTTAATGTGAAGAGAGGTAAGGAAAAAACAATTTTTTGCACATACTAATTGATGCTAAAATTCAATCTTTGTTTTTTACTGTTTTTAAGAGGCCTTCTGTCATTCAGCAGATAGAAATAAGGACTATCAAAGGTTTTGGTCATCATCCCTGGCAGCACAAGAAAAAGTTACTGCCATCATCTTCAGACCCCGTACATTTCAAAGTGGATGCTTCTCATGAATATTTAGAAAGTATGTCAGACTTGGATGCAGTAAATATCAGTGATCCTTTTCAAGACCTCTCTCACTCAGATTCACTATTCGGTATAGGAGACAGTTCCATCACTTCAGACCTGCCTCAGGTGAGCATTGCTGCAGTAAGTTCCAGGAGATAGCTCACAATGTTCTCATAGGATTTCTCCAAAATCATGAGGGCTAGTAAATGCTCTCTAATGGACATGTAAAGGAAGGGGATGCATGGTCGATTTTCTTAATTTTAGCATGGAAAGAACCAGAAAACTTTACGGTGAGTTGTAAAACAGATCCTTTCTAGTCTGCGTATGAAGTTCCAGGAGAGCAGCTAGGAGATGGGGTTACAGCTCAGTCACAAACAGGATGAGAGACTGAACCAGAACCTGACTTCTGGTCTAGTGTGTCTTCCACAGTGTCACTACGCAAATGATCAGTTATCATGCATAATGACATTGACAGCATCCTCCATGTGACTCACATCCTGTATCTTCATGAAAAACCCAGCACCCAGCCCGGTGGTGTATGCCTTTGTTCCTAGCACTCAGGAATCAGAGGCAGGTGGATCTCTGAGAACACCACCAGCCTGGTCTATATACTGAATTCCAGGCCAGCTGGGGCTACAGGGAGACTCTGTCTCAAAAAACCACAAATCCTAGCGCACTTTCTCATGAAATAAAAGAGATGTAATGTCTCAAGATCTTCATAAATGTTGTGTATGATAGTTACTTGCAAGAGTATGGGGAAACAGTAGAACTATATTAATTCATACCATGTGAAATTGACTTTATAGTTAAAAAAGGACAAATAATGAAAAATTCATGTGGTCCAGACTAAACTGGCAAAGCCTTTCTATGAGTTTGTTTAGTGATAGGATATCTAAATTAAACTACAATTTAAAATTCAATCTCTAAGAAATAGTCAAATAAGATACTTAAATTATCTATAATGGGTTGGTGAGATGGCTCAGTGGGCAAGGGCACCAAGCCTGATAACCTGAGTTTAATCCCCGGGCCCCACCTGGTAAAAGTAAACTGATTCCATCAAGTTGTCAACTGACCCTCATATGCATGCCATGGCCTATGAATCTCCACTTGCATTTGCACACACAAAACAAAATAATAAAAAATAATTATCCATAATGAGTATATATTAGGAAAAAATAAAATTTCAAAGGTAATTAATTTTATGGACATATGATGGATAATTAAAACATTTTCTGGATGTGGCCTTATATACTGAAATATATATACTTGTTGGCAGAAAAGTGGTCACATTGGCCAGGAGTGGTGGCACAAACCCTGTAAACCTAACACCTGGAAATGAATGCAGGAGGATCATGAGTCCAGGGCCACATATCAAGACCCTGCCTCAAAGAAGATCTAAGTGGGGGCTGGAGAGATGGCTTAGTGGTTGAAGGCACTGACTGCTCTTGCAGAGGACCCAGGTTCGATTCCCAGCACCCACGTGGCGGCTAACAACTGTCTGTAACTCCAGTTCCAGGGGATCTAATGCCCTCTTCTGACTTCGCAGGCATTGCACAATACAGGTGCACCTACCTACATGTAAGCAATATGCTCATCACATCAAATAAAAATAAAATATTTTTTTAAAAAGATTTAAATGGAAAGAAAAAATAAAAATGGTCACATTAGTTTGATGTTTGTAGGTAGTGGGCTTTTGAGTACTCTATACATTGTTCAGTATTCTTTTTTATATTTTTAAAAACTCAAAAAAAGTTCATAGTATATTGTTAATGAGGACCAAGAGACTATGTATGGCACTACGTTTTAAAGAATGAATGTTTTAAATTATATAAGAAGCTGTACTGACCATTTTATTCATTATGATAAATTTGCAGACCAAAGGAACAACATGAATATTTTAGTTAAGCGTAGTAATATAAGGGCTGGAGGGATGGCTCCTCAGTTAAGAGCACATACTGCACTTACAGAGGACCCCAGTTCTGTTCCCAGCACCCCATAACAGCTAACACCATAAGTGCAGTTCCAAGGGATTCAACATCCTCTTGTGGCCTCCAGGGGCATTGCTTGACACGGGTGTACTTTATACAGGAAAGCAAAGCACTCATACACATAAAATTAGAATTTAAAAAAAAAATCTTTTTAGAATGGTAATATCAGAGAAAACAGCTAGAAATTATCTCTGAAATTCTGTGAAAAGCTAAATCCCAAGAAGTCATGAATTCTAGCATGAAGGCACGTGAATAGTTCAATTTTTATCTTCAGGTATCTTCATACATTTTGGGTCTAATTAGGAGGAATGATCTGAGCTAGTAACAAGTCTATAAACAGTTTATTATAAGTTGTGATTCAGTTTTTATTTACTTCAAGCACATTCAATAGATGAAACAACTCTGAAAAAGCATTACTGAGTAGAGGTTTATAGATGACCTGGAGCTTACTGTGTAGACCAGGTGGGCCTTGAAATCACAGCGCTCCGCCTCTCTCTATCTCCTGAGTGCTGGGATCTAAGGCATGTGCCACCACACCCAGCAAGTTATAAGATTCTTATCTAGAGCCAGCTGTTACATTTCCCATTAGTGAACAGTGGACTTTTATTTATTTATTTATTTTTGAATCAAGGTCTCAGTATGTAGCCCTGGATGACCCTGAACTTGCTATGTAGACCAGGATAATGTCCAACGCACAGAGATCCACCTGCCTGTCTCCTGAGTGCTAAGGTTAAAGGCATGCACTACTACACCCAGCTTATTCATTGGCTTTTTGAGACAGGTTTTCACTCTCAAGTTCAAGCTCGCCTGTTTCTGTGTAATAGGACATCATTTAGACCCACATATTTGACATACTATTATTAAACCTCAAAAATTTTAAGTATTGCCCAATACTATCTCATTTATAATATTAATTTGATACACCCTTTTGTCTTAGATAATATTAAGAGTACTTGGAGAACAAGCCCACATGAGTTTTATAAATTATTTAGTAGAATCAGATGTCATCTTATTAAAACTTTGTTTTATTTTCAATGTAAAAAATCCTAATTATGCCGGGCATGGTGGTGCACGCCTTTAATCCCAGCACTTGGGAGGCAGAGGCAGGTGGATCTCTGTGAGTTCAAGGCCAGCCTGGTCTACATAGTGAGTTCCAGGACAGCTGGGGCTACAGGGAGACCCTGTCTCAAAAAGACCAAAAAAATGACTCCACACGTGTTCCTGGGCACCCAGGCCTTGACATTGGACCTCTCCCATTCCCAGGCACCAAGGGGTTTTCTGTCACTTTTCTCTTACTCTTCTACAGCCCAGTGTACCTTCACCTGTGCCCTACAGAAAATATTTATGTCCTAATTGAACTTCTAGAAATAAAAATCACAGTCTGGGAAGTTAGAAAGTACTGTTATAACTAAAGTGATAAAATTCCCCATCTAAAAATATGTAATTATATCTTAGAATATAAATTTGAAATTTTGTATGTCTACTATAATTTTTTAGATATGTAATTATATCTTAGAATATAAATTTGAAATTTTGTATGTCTACTATAATTTTTTAGATATGTAATTATATCTTAGAATATAAATTTGAAATTTTGTATGTCTACTATAATTTTTGAATATTGTTTACTGACAAAACTGTACTACCAATCTTCGACAATGTGATATTTGTCACTGTTCCTTTAATGTGAATTTGCCATTCCCTTTCCAAATTCTTCACCTATACAAAATCTTTCATTGTAATCATGTTACTTCTTAAGAAAGCAATGCTAATAAACTATTTTTTTAATGTAATTACTGCTCTACTATGGTTTAGACAAGATTTAACAAACATTAATGAATCATCTGAGCTGGGGACAGCAAGATGGCTCAACACGTAAAAGCTCATGCCTGACAAACTGAGTTCCATCCCCACAGCCCAGGTAAAAAGCTGGATTCCCTGGCATTCATCAGTAATCCCAGCATTCCAATTTGAGATGGAAGCAGAGACAGGAGAATCACCCAGAAACTCACAAGCAACTAGCCTGGAGTATGCAGCGTGGCAGAAACAGCAAGAAAAGCAAAGTGGAAGGGAAGAATAGCTATGGCATGTGTGCAGTTACAGAGAGAGAGAGAGAGAGAGAGAGAGAGAGAGAGAGAGAGAGAGAAAGAAAGAGAGAGAGAGAGAGGAGAGAGAGAAATAAACAGGCATGGTAGTGCACACCTTTAATCCCAGCACTGGAAAGGCAGAAGCAGGTGGATCTCTCTGAATTCCAGGCTATCCAAGGCTGCACAGTGAGACTGTAACTCAATTAAATAAATAACAAATAAACAAATAGACAATTAACTGACCTCAGCATGATTGCTTACACCTGAAATTCTAGCACTTGAGAGGCTGAGACAGGAGGATTACTGTGGATTCAAAGCCAGTCTGGTCTACATAATGAATTCCAAGAAAGTCTTGAATATCGAGCGAAACCCTGTTCTAAAAGCCAAAAAGAAATTATCATCAGTAAGGGATACTAATGTTATATGTCTCTATGATAGAGACACATGATCTCACTTTAAAAAAAAATACTAAATAACAGCTATTTATCATTTAGTGCTACTCTCCTAAGATTGGTTTTTCTGACAAAGAGCTAAACCTGTAGTAGAAAAAGGTACTAGAAGGCACATTCTGCCTGTGAAACAAAAAAATCTCATAGTAAAAAAGTTCCATAGTGGGTCTGGAGAGATGACTCCGGAGTTAAGAGCACTGGCTGCTCTTGCAGAGGACCCAGGTTAGGTTCCTAGCACCCACATGGCAGCTAACAACCATCCGTAACTCCAGTTCCAGAGGATCTGACACCCCTTTCTGACCCCCGCAGGCATTGCACAACACAAATGCACTTACATACATGCAGGCAATACACTCATACACATAAATTAATAAAATACGTTTTTAAGTTACATAGCAAATTGTATACTTAGAAGACTGATGATGTGTTCTTGAATTCTTAATAATGTGTTTTAAACTCTTACACAGAGTGAAACAAAGAAAGTGAAAAGGGAAAATGAATGTATGCACACACACACTGAAGATATTTGTAGCACACACGACAACTTGTTAGGTGGTAAGTATCCCTTTGCTACAATATACAATACATAAAACCTTTGTGTGTGTTTATTCTGTGATAACAACAATAGCCAGGAACTGAGCCAAGCTATATATAGATATAGATAAACATAGATAACATCACATGAAGTCTCCAAGTAATCCTATGAAACGGTAGATGTTTTTTGTACAGTGAGGGTGCTTTTAATTTCCATTTTGTAGATGGAGAGAGTAAGACTCTAACTTGCCCAAGGTGGTGTATCTTTAATGAGTGAGCTGTGATTTAGGTCCGTTCTCAATGACTAGAATTATATACCACACAAGTATCTGAAAGATGTGTGTTGAGATAACCATTATTTCTTATTCTATGCTTACATTTGTAGATGAAAGCTAGTTAGGAGTTAGTCATATCATGAGACACATTGACCACGTTTATTTACGAAAACCCAAATGATATGTAGAATTGTCTGGGGTCTTTGGGGGTATTCTTTAAATTATTTATTTATTATTTTTATTTTATGGGTATGAATGTTTTGCCTGTATGTATGTAAGTGCACCTGTGTTGTGCAGTGTCCTCACAGGCCAGAAGATGGCGTCAGCTCCCCCGGAACTAGAGTTACAGATGGTTGTTAGCTGATGTGAGCCAAACCTGGCTTTTCTTTTCTTTCTTTTCTTTCTTTTCTCTCTCTCTCTCTCTCTCTCTTTCTCTCTCTCTCTCTGAGACAGGGTCTTTTAATCCCAGCACTTAGGAGGCAGAGGCAGGTGGATCTCTATGAGATGAAGGGCCAGCCTGATCTGCATAGTGACTTCCAGGCCAGCTTGGGCTACAGGGAGACCCTGTCTCAAAAAACTAGCAGCAACTTCTTGGGGCTGGGAGTGATGGCTCAGTGGCTAAGAGCACTGGTTGCTTTTGCAGAGGACTTGGGTTCAGTTCCCAGTACCCACATGGCAGCTAACAACTGTCCTCAACTCCCATTGCAGGAGATCTGATGCCCTCTTCTGACTTCCATGGGCTTTGCATGATATGGGTGCATTTACATACATGGAGGCAAAATACTATTAGACATAAAATAAAAATAAATTTAAAAAACAACAATGTGCTAGCATCAACTTCTTTTAAAAATAAATTTTAAAGCCAGGTGTAGTGGTACATGCCTTTAATCCCGGCACTCAAGAGACAGAGACAGGTGGATCTCTGTAAGATTGAGGCCACTCTGGTCTACATAGTGAGATCAGGCCTATAAAGAGACCCTGTCTCAAAAAACCAAAAAAAAATTAAATAAATAAAATTTAAAAACCATTATCAGTATCAGTACAAACTAGATACTTAATAAATCTGACAAGAAAACAGGCAAGGTTTCTTTCGGAAAAAGTATAAAATTTTCCTGGAGGATATAAAAACCAATGAAATGTTTCATGTCTAAATTAGTTTCCCTCAAATCTAAGAATTAATGCAATTATATTTGTCCTAGTAGACCCTGACATTCCTATTTAGAACTTAAAATTGAACCTGATGTGATGATGCATGAGTGTACCCTAGAGTACCCATGAGGAACACGCAGGAGGATCAAGAGTTTGTGGCCAGCTTGAGCCACATAGCAAGCACCAGCCTACCTTGGGCTACACAGTAAAGCCTTATCTCAAACAAACAAGGTGGACCCTTGGTATTTGTTAGAGGACTTCTTATAAACCAGTAGGGAAGGAATAGATTATTTATTCAATTATGCTAAAACAGTTGGCTTTCTAAATCATTAGACCCTTACACCAAATCCAGAAGTAAATTCCATGGGGTAATGACCTATAAGTAAAGTTCTAACTCCTACAATTTAGGGCTGAGGAGGTGACTCAGCAGGTAAAGGCAGCAGCTGAGCAAGCCAATGATCTGAGTTTGATTCCTGGGGCCCATGTGTGCTGGATAGCTTCGGCTTAACAAACCTGGACAGTGGGAACATCGATTGAGGAATTTCCTCCATTGGATTTGAATTATGTGGGAGGATGAAGCCTGCTGTGGGTGTATGTGGAGGTCAGAGGACAATTTGCAGGAGTGGCTGCTCTCCTTCTACCGTGTGAGTTCCAAGGATCAAATTCAGGTCATCAGGCTTGGTAGCAAGTGCCTTTACACACTGAAGCATCTCACTGGCCCTGTTTTGTTTCTTTCAGAGTCTTACCCTGTAGCTCAGGCAGGCCTTGCTGAGATGATGGTCATAAGCCACCATACCCAGTACTATACAGTGTTTTATAGAGCTGAATTTAACCCAGTTGATAGAAGAAAGGATAAGAAAATTCATTTACACTGTGAGACTTTTCTTTTTATGTGTGCATATATATATATAAGGGTGTGAATGTAAGTGTGTGAAGGGGATGTGAACGTATGTGTGTTCTATCTTATTTGGGTTTTTTGTTTTTGTTTTTGTTTTGTTTTTTCTTTTGTTTTGCCTATCCACCCTTCTTCTATTCCCAAAGAGGCTTCACAGCACATAAAGAGTGGTTTATATAACAGGTGTTTTAGTAGCAGTAGAAATGCATTTCACTGTACTGTACCAGCTGACACTGTTCACTGAGATCAACCAGCTCCTAAGGCTACCTGGGTGGCTTCTGCAGAAGCAGTCTTCTAGAGCCCAGTATATTGTTTTTGCTATTTCAAGTTCTATTCTATATGCATTATTTTAACCTTAAAGCAAAGGTTAATTTATTTCATTTCTGTTTTATTGAAGTTTTGCAAATTCCATATATTTTGATCATATTTAGATCTCCCCATCTTACTCAATTTCATGTACTCTAATATATTATATATATAGAAATAGAGATATAGATATGGATCTAGATATGCTTATAGAGTCAAATTTGTGTCCCCCAAACACCTTCGGTGTGGGTTCATCCACAGGAGTCTGGTTAACCTACCAAGAGTCACATCCTTAAACGAGATTGAGTCTCTCCCTCACAGCAGCCATCAGTTACCAATACTTCCTCAGGTAGGGATGGGGTTTCTTACCCACTTTCCCACATCTGTACTGGGATTTTGTCCGGCTTGAGCTTAGGTAAGATTTGTGCATGCTGTCACCATTGTTGTGAGTTCATATGAATAACTGACCGGCTGTCTGGAAAACTGTTTCCTTGCGGTCATTCCACCACCTCTGGCTCTTACAGCATTTCCACCCCTCCTCTGTAATGATCCCTGAGCCCTGGAGGCAGAAGTTTGACATAGGTGTCCTGTTCAGGAATAAGCAGTCTGCAGCCTCTTATTCTCTGTGCTTTGGCCAGTCGTGGGTCTCTGTTAATCACCATCTGCTGCATAAGGAAGCTTCTCTGCTGAGAGTTGAGTGGTGTATTCATCTCACTCAGGATGATTGTTTCCAGCTCCATCCATTTACCTGCAAATTTCATAATTTCACTTTTTAAAGAGCTGAATAATAGTATATATATATATCACTTTCATTTTCCATTCATCAGTTGATAGACATCTAGGTCGTTTCCAATTCCTGACACAGCAGGTCTGTGTAAGCCCCTGGGGCTTGCAGGGGTCCTGGAAGAGATGGTGAAGTACAGGAAGGTGTGGGAAAGGGAACTCACCACAGCAGGTCTCTCCTCAAATTCTTTAAAGAATGTCCTTTTTTTCCTTTTCTCCTGTGCCATCTCCCTACTCCATTGCTTCTGATTTTTTAAAAATATTAAATCTGGTCATTTGTCATATTGAGAAGCAATAGCACCTTGCTCATAGAAATAATGCACTGCCTGACAGTTTTGTGACTTAGCAAAATGACTGTTGTACCTCCATTTTCTTATTTATAAAATAGGAATAATGAGGACTAGAGATGGCTCAGTGGTTAAGAGTACTGGTTGCTCTTGCAGAGGACCCGGGTTCAATTCCCAATATCCACATGGCAGCTAACAACCATCCATAACTCCAGTTCCAGGGGATCTGATGCCCTCTTCTGACCTCCATGGGCATTGTAAGACATGGGTGTATCTACCTACATGGAGGGAATACACTCATACATAAAATAAAAATAAATAAATAAAATAGGGATAATAACAATATCAACGAATTCTTATAAAATTAAAAAAGTTTGTGTTTGCAGTTGTGCTACGCTATGTACTCTTGTATCCTTTTGAAACATTTTAAAGTTAAATAATTTAAATTGCAACCAAAAATTGAATATATTTGGAATTTACTGTAATGGTATTTGACCAGAACAATCTTTATAGCATGCTTCTTTGCAACTGTCATTTGAAGACTTTGTTCCCCCTTTTAAGTTGCTTTGTTAAGTCAGACATGTAATCCTAGCACTTGGAGGTAGAGGCAGGAGGATCATGAGTTTCAGGCTGTCTTAGGCTACATAGTGAGACCCTATATCAAAAAACAAACAAAAAAAAGAATGTTTTGTTGGAAATTATATGTAATTTTTAAAAGATTTCAACAATCTATTTCTTAAATATAACAGTCATAACATAAGTTTATGGTAACTTGTTATCTTTCTTTTTCTGATAAGGTGTCAGCATTAGAAGTTACTCAGGGGATGTACAGAATCAACCAGCTAACAGAATTTCTTCCTTGAGACAATTTGAACCCATTTGCAAATTTCACTGGATAGAAGCTTTTCATGATGAAATGACATTTCAAAACCTGACAAGAGACTTTTCTTACTCAGAAAAGCCAGAATTCCAAATCCAAGCATACAATGATGCAGAAGACTCCAGCATGAAGCAGAATTGCCTTCAGGAGGAAAATCCAATGGAAACTAGCATTTCTGCAAATAAAGACCAACTTGTTCATGAGTGTGTCACAAAATCTCCCAAGAGCCTATCTCTAAACTACTACAGTAGAGAGACGCTGAAATTTACACAAAAGCCACTGGCTAAAAATACTGCTGGAGACTCTGCCCTCCACCCTAGTCAATCTCACATCTTTTTATATAAAGAAAGTGTCTGCAGAAATGGTGAAAGTGCATTTTACCATGATAATAACTTTGACCTGCTTGACTTGAGAGTTAATTATAAAACAGAGGCGGTAAGATTAATTGTTGGGGGTCATTAAAGCCTGTGGAATGTGAAAGGATGCAGGGATATATTTTTGTTGTTGAAAAACCCATACATGGACAGGCATGGTAGTGCACACCTTTCATTCCTGCACTCAGGAGGCAGAGGCTGCTGATCTCTGTGAGATCCAGGCCATCCTTGTCTATTTAGGGAATTCCAGGCCAACTAGAGCTACAGAAAAACCCTGTCTCAAGAAAACAATAATGACAGCAAAAAGGACACAAAAACATATATATATGACAAAAACCCACTGTAATATGAGATTTTTCCAAACAGCATTAAATCATCTAATTAGTACTTTTTCTCCCTGGGGAAAATGTACTCTGAGATCTTAAACGATTTAGACACACATTTTTTATAAATTTGGGACCATACTTAGGGATTAACTCTACCAAATGGTCATTTCTTTGACGATTAAGACTCTCTTCGACACTCGTCTTTTTATGTGCCATATCTACATGGTGCCTTGAACAGAATTCATTTTTACATGGGTTGAAACAAACTAGCTAGTACTCAGAGAGTTTGCAGAGAAGGGAAGATTGGGAAGACGGCATGCAGAGGTGTTGATTAAACTATTGGAAAAGCCAGGCATGGTGACTCACACCTTTAATTGCAGCACTTGGGAGGCAGAGGCAGGTGGATCTCTGTGAGCTCGAGGCCAGCCTGTTCTATATAGCAAGTTCCAGGCCAGTTGGGGCTACAGGGAGACCCTGTCTCAAAGAGACTACATAAAATCTGAGCGTATATATATATATATATATACACACACTATTGGACGAGAGTCTTCTATTTTGTTGAATTTCTATGGAAAAGCAAACATTTATTTGTCTTTACTTTTATTGATTGTGTTCACATACATAATATCTTAAAAGCATGGACAGGGCCCGGAGAGATGGCTCAGCAATTAAAAGCACTGGCTGCTCTTGCAAAAGACCCAAGTTCAAATCCTAGCACCCACATGGTGGCTAACCACTGTCCATAACTCCAGTTGCAGGGGATCTGATATCCTCTTCTGACCTCCACAGGCATTGTATAACATGGATATATTTACATATATGCAGGCAATACACTCATGCACATAAAATAAAAATTAAAAAAGCATAAACTGTGTCAATAATATAAAGTCTGTTTTCTCTGAACAACTACAACAAAGAAAGCTTTACCCTGACAGTAGTATAAACAACCAGCTCTTTATGCAAATGTCATAAGAAAAAGGTATGGTTTATATAAGAGGTTTTTGTTCATTTATTTGGAATAGATGGCAGCATTTGAAAGAGAACTTATGTTAATTTCTGGAAAGCAGCATTTTGAAAATCTGCTTAATTAGGGTTTCTCAAGATTGTTTCTTCCTCTTTCCATTGCATTTAGTTATTTTTTTCAACTAGGCAATAGATACTTTTGAACATACGTTATGTGCCAAGTGTTGGTTATATAATGTCCAAAAAAGATAAGAACAATACATGGCTCTTATCTTCGTAAAAATAACATCCGGGTAGAGAAGATAGACATTAACCAAATCATACAAATATATGTACATTTGGAATCTATTGTAAGAGTGATAGAGACAATAGATTCAACTATTATTATATTATTGCTCAAGTATATTTATTTGTATCATCTTTGGTCGGGGATTCTGGGGAGGATTTCTCAGAGTGGTCTTTGGGCTGTGCTAGGATGAGTGAGTAGGGGTCCACTGGGCAACTGTGGGTTGGCAAGTATTTTGTGCACAAGGAACAGTATCTGTGAAACCCTTGTGCCTGTAAGGTCATGATACCTGCTAGTATATGGAAGAAGCCCAGTGTCCACAAAACAGGGCTTCAGGGAGGAAGGAGGGGTTAGAAGAAGATGAAAGAGTGTCAGAGTGCAGCACCTTGGAAACCTCAATAAAGTAACTGTCCCTCAACAATGAAGAATCATTAAAAGTTCAGGGATTGAACATCACTAAATTGATCTACTATACCCCCAGTGTTTGATACCATGGTTATGCTATCTTTTGTTATACCCCCTCACCTGGACCTGTATTGTGTGCATATAAAGCATGTCTGATTGCCATTCTAATGCTCAAAGGCATCATAGCATGATGAAGTGATGGTCTAAATGAGAAATTTTTTTATTATTTTTATTCTATGTGTATAAGTGTTATGCCTGCGTGTAAGTAAGTGCACCTATGTCATGCAATGCCAGCGGAGGACAGAAGAGGAAGTCAGATCCCCTGCAACTGGAGTTACAGACAGTTGTTAGCTGCCATGTGGGTACTGGTATTCAAGCCCGGGTCTTCAGTGTTCTTAACTGCTGAGCCATCTCTCCAGCCCCTAAATGAAAAAATTTTAAAGATCTTTATTCAAAAGATCTTGAAGTCTAAAGAATAATTGATAGATTTGTTTTAATTGCTTTTGAGGTCAAAGAAAGCATCTTATATGTGTCCAGAAAAGTTTACATCATAGAAGATGGTGAGTGTACAAAACAGAATTTTTCTTTTGTCAAAGTAAAAATGATACATATGTCTAGCATGTGCCTTCTGATTGTTCTGCTGTGCTGTTGGGAGTTACACATATAGTCAACAGTATACTCTCACATTTATTTTATTTACTATAATTTACAGACTGAAGTTTCTTCAAAAGAAATACAGACTTCTAGGGAAATTTCTGAGATGCCAGGTAGTCACCAGGAGGAAGTCACAGAGGACGGTGAGGAAAGCCTAGCCATTACCTCCTCTTGGTCTCCAGCAGGCATCTTCAAGAGTGATGGAGCATCTCAGGAGAACTCCATGACACCTGGCATGGAGCAAAACTTTGAAAGCTTCCAGCCTCTGGAAGAGGACATGGCTTTAAATGAAATCTTGCAGAAATTAAGACATACTATCAAAATGCAGGACATGCAGATCCAAGACCTCCAGGGTCAGAACTTGCACTTAGAGAGCAAGGTTAAAGAACTACAGATGAAGCAGCAACTGTTTGTTGACAACATAAATAAACTAAAGGAGAACATTGAAGAATTAATTCATGACAAATACAATGTAATTCTAGAGAAGAATGAGATTAGCAAGAAATTTCAGGATTTGCAAGAGATTTCCGCTAACACCAAAAAACATCTTCAGGAATCCAAGAAAGAGAAAGAAACGTTACAGCTACAAGTTAAAAAGATCAAGGCCAACTGTATCCGTTTACAGGAACAGTACATTGCTGAAATACAGCAGAAGAACAGAGCTGTAAATCAGTGTGTAGAGATGGAAAAAACCTTAAGCAAGAAGGATGAAGAGCTAGCGAGACTGGAACAGGTCAAAGTAGACTTGGAGAAGGCCGCCACTTCTGCCTACCTGTTGAAAAAGGAAAAGGAGATCCGAGAGCAAGAGTTCTTGTCTCTTCAGGAAAAATTCCAGAAATGTGAGAAAGAAAACCTGAAAGAAAGAAGGAAATTGAAATCAAGAGTTGAGAAATTGATTGCTCAAATTAAAAACTTGCTATTCACTTGTGAAAATAAAAGGGCTAAAAATACAAAACTTCAGCAGCAGATTGATGAACTTCAGCAACAGGTTGCCAAGAGTGAGGAGCAAAACTGCATCCCTAACTTTGAGATAGCGCCACTAGCTGAGAAAATAGAGGATGTGATGGAGCCAGATATCACCCAGGTACTGATGCCGATTCTGAATGTCTAACAGAATTCCCAGTTCAAGTAGATTAGTGATGAACATCTAGACATGGTACTCAGTGAATATTTGTAGAATTATTTTTAAAATGAAACAGGCAAATGCAACACAGGTTTGGACACATTTCTTTTGGTTCCTAGGCACTCACCTTAAAGAACAGTATGTTGGCTTCTTATAGTCATTACCCTAGGGATTGTGGTACCTGTGACTGATCCCAAGAAGATTCTCAGTCTGTTACTTTGAAAGAGGATTTTTTTTTAAGTGTGCCTCTCAATTCTCTTTAGCAAGAAAAAAAATAATAAAATTGCACTTTTTTTTTTTTTTGGTCTTTTTGAGACACGGTCTCCCTGTAGCTCCAGCTGTCCTAGAACTCACTATGTAGACCAGGCTGGCCTTGAACTCACAGAGATCTGCCTGCCTCTGCCTCCTGAGTGCTGGGATTAAAGGTATGCACCACCACGCCCGGCTGCACTTTTTTTCTTACAAAGTAAAACCATGCTGTAGCACATACAAGTTTTTGTAAAATTGTAAAGCATTGAAAACACGGCATTAGAACATTTTTATCATTAGATTTACAGGGTACATTTTTCAATATATGTCATTCAAAAGTCTTGAAAAAAAAAAAGGCAAATAGTCAAAAACACATCCAGGATGAGATAATCTTTACAAGCCAGGGCACACCTGTTATAGGTCTGCCTTAAAGCGTATAAATCTTAACTAAGTATAGTAGCATCTTTTTTTGGTTTGTTTGTGACAGGGCCTTGCTACACAACCCAGGCTTTCCTGGAACTCTAGTCCAGGCTGGCCTTGAACCCATGGTGCTAATATCTGAGTCTCTGAGTGCTGGATGTATAGGCATGAGATACTATACTTCCCAAATAGAGTAAAATCTTGTTACCTAATATAGGTGCAGGCCAGCAGGCATCTTGTTAAAGAAAGCAAGCTAATTTGAGCTGAAAAAACAAGTTTATTTTATTTAAAAAACTATTATTTCCAGGTGTGGTGGTGCATGCCTTTAATCCCAGTACTTGGGAAGCAGAAGCAGGCAGATCTCTGTGAATTCAAGGCCAGGCTGGTCTAAACAGCACATTTGAACATATATAAGGCTATGGGGGGACCCTGTCTCAAAAAGACCAAAAAAACCCAAACAAACATATATACATATATATACACATATATGTATGTATTGCTGTTGGCTGGTTTGGTTTTGTTTTAATTTGTTTCATTTACTTTTTAAAAAGATTGTCTTGCCATGTAGACCAGACTGGCCTCCTGCATTTGCCTTCCAAGTGTGGGGATTACAGGCATGTACCACCATGCCCAGCTATGTTTTTTTTTTTAACATATGTTGCAATAATTTAAACTGAGCCAGTATGTTGCCTTAAAGATACAATGGATTCTTTTTATAAACCAGTATAACTATTGTTTGCAAATAAATCTATTTTTATTTCTTTGGAAAATACTGTTCTCTTAGGTTTAAAAAACAATTTAAGATCTAAGTATTATCTGAATAAGCGAGTCTCAAACTTGGACATGTGCCAGCATAACCTGGAGGTTTTAATAACACAGAGACCCCCTGAATCAGAAATTCCTGAATGGGCTGGAGAACATGCTCTTTTAACAAGAGCCCAGGTGGAGTCTCTGCTGCTGTTCAGAGCCCATGTTGTCAGAACTGCTGATCTTAGCAAAGATGACCCCAAGTTTAGCTCCTAACCAAATCCTAACCAAATGATAGATGTTGAGCTGGAATGCTGTGAATGAATTAACTGTACATAGGTGAACAATGACATGCAATGTTTTCTTTAACTTCAAAAAAGGGTCAGGTTCTTTGTTTTATCTTGACTAAAGAATTTATTAAATATCTCCAAATTCACACTCTTGTAGTTTTGCTTTTTACTTCAAAGAAAGGCATGAGAGCATCTGTGAAATCAAAGGTATTTTTTAATATAAAGACATTATTGGTGTGTGTGTGTGTGTGTGTGTGTGTGTGTATGTGTGTACAGTGATTTATTCTGCCTTCCATCTCAAGAGCTTTCAACAGAGTCATGTTGGGTCAGAGGGTCCAGAGGTTCCCAAACTCTGTAACACATCAGAGCTACTATGAGGAGGAACCCAGGAAGTATTTGCCGTTTTCAATGGAAAACAAGTGACAGTAACTGGTTATGATACCTTGTTCTTAGGATCTGTATTTGTGTTCTCCCTCCCTCCCTTCTTCCCTCCCTCCCTCCCTTCCCTTTCTTCCCCCTCCTGTTCTTTTTTTTTTCTTGAGACAGGGTCTCAATATGTAATATATATATATATATAATATATAATATATATAACCCAGGCTGACCCAAACTCATGACAATCTTCCTATTTCAGCTTCCTGGGTGCCTAGATTACAGATGAAAGACTCCATGCCTAGTGGCACCTTTCTTTACAGTTAAGACATAAACTGCTTATGAAATAAAGATGCTTTTGTTCATCCATTTAGCAGATATGAAGAATGTTTTTAAAAGGACAGTCTTTTTGAACAATGAATCAGCTCTTGAACTCTTACAGCATGCTATATATGTTAGTAACTAAACTCATGGCATGGGAAAAGAAGACCTTATTGCTGCTGGGTATGATGGCGCATGCTTATAATCCCACCTGTTTGGGGCCTGATGCTAGAGGATCCCAAGGTTGAGGCCAACTGCAGCAACTTGATAAGACTCTGTCTCAAAATTTAAAAGGATAAGCAGGAACAATTTATTGGTGGAGAGTACTTACTATGCATGTGTGAATCCTGGTTTTGATCCTCAAAATTGCCAAAAAGAAAACAAAAAGACATTACTGCCTTTTTTCACTGTCGTTTTCTTCACAAGTGTATGGTAGAATTTTTAGAAGCTGTGTGGCATGGGATACTGTAATTGCCCTCATGGCTGATGGAATGTGTAGACCAATCATGAGGACCCAGCTGTCTTTCTTATTAAGTATACAGTTAAAATTAACTGCAGTTGGGCTTGGGATGTAGGTCAGTAGTAGAGTGATTGCTTAGAAATGCAAGAGTCTGAGTTTGATCCCTAGAACCTCCCCACACACACACACACCAATCACAAACACTGGAGAATTGTAATGTTGCTAGTGTTTTCATTTGGAGAATGTAATTGTTAGTCAAATTTTTATTTATGTTGAGACATAATGGATTTATTGTTAGCTAAATGAATTAGTAAACAAATATTCAAAAGTATTCTAATTCCTAATACAACAAATATTCATAGCTATAACATTACATGATCAAACTATTTTTTATGAGATTCTCAATAATTTTTGGTTGTTTTAATAGGTTTTTTTCTTAATAGTTTTTAAGAGTATAAAGATATCCAGGGGAAAAAATGTTTGAGAAGCACTGCTCAGAGTCTTTAAGCATAGTATTTTATTCACAATTTTATTTAAAAGATAATTCAGACTATTTGACTTTATTTTGACAAATCTTAATTGTGTACATGTAGGGTATAAAGGTGACCCATTCTAATTTGATCCTGAATTGCTCATCTTGTGACAAAAGCCTAGAACCTTCACCTGTGATGAAAACTCCACTGGCTGCTAAAATTCACAGTCTTCTGACCCTGATGATAGGACTTCTCACGTGTCAGGTAAAAAAAAAAAATCAGATTCTTTAGTGGGATTGGCCTGAACCAAGAGAGACCGTGAAAGATCACAGGATTAAGTTATGGAAGAAGAGAAGACAAAATACAGACCTCTAAAGCCAGCCACCCAGCCTTTCCTTTCTCCTAATGTTTCTTACTGTTTATCTTTAACATTGAATTCCTGCAGGTTTCCTGTAACATAAAAATGTAATGATAAAATTGTGAAGAGTAAAGGGACTCAATATTTTCTCATTTAGTACTTCTTGACTTCAGAGCAGTTGTCTTACACTCTGGGTCAGTCTATGCTTGGTGATTGTTCATATTAATGAGCTATTTACCTAATTAAAAAATAGTTTTGGGGGAGGGGGGGCTCTGTACATCAGTAGAATGAAAAATGAAGTAAGGATCACAGATGAGTTCAAATCCTGGCCTTGCCACTCCCTGGTTAGGTGTCTTGCCCAGATAGCCTTTCTCAGACTGTTTTCTTAAATAGGGGAAACAGTAATTGCTTCTGTGCTAGGAAATGCTGCATATAAGAAGAAAAAAAAAATATGATAGGGTATATGCTTGCTAGATTTTCAAATTAACTTTTTCTTTCCTTTTATCATGCATTTCCTCAATTGTAAGTACACTCGTCTGAACTGAAATTTGAGAGCATGGCTTGCTGTATTTTGAATACAAGACAAAAATCTGTGTCTGTTATATCTTAGCTAAAGGTGGTTGAACATTAGCATTTTTTGAGTGCCAGAAAGCAAGCTAAACTTTTGTATGCACAGATCACAAAGTGGTAGCCCACTTTGTTTTTAAGGATTTGGCTTAAATGTGCCATGCATTCTTTGTTACAAATTTTCATCCCATCCTTCTGATGGTTGCTTATATATAGCATTTATTGGATTCCCCCTGTCTCATGGGGGCTGCTGCTCTTTTTCAGTCTTATTCATTGGCTGCAGCTTCTGTACCAGACTTCTGAGTGGCAGTGCATCACCAGCTCTCAGTAGATCCCACCCCATCCCAAATAAATGCTTCTGTTTGCATCTTCTGTATCGCCTATGCCCACTTGAGCATGAGCATTCAAGATCTTGTATGTTCTGTACCTAATACAGAGTTAAGCTCAGAATGGCTCTCAGCAAGTATTTGCTTACTTCCTGACATACCCTTGCAGGGATTCACATCACTTGTCCCTAAGTTTATGGGTTGGCCCATTCAACCCCTTACACCATTCTTAGGCTTTAAAAAAATATTTATTTAAGCCGGGCATGGGGGCGCATGCCTTTAATCCCAGCACTCGGGAGGCAGAGGCAGGTGGATCTCTGTGAGTTCATAGGCCAGTCTGGTCTACATAGTGAGTTCCAGGACAGCTGGGGCTACAGGGAAACCCTGTCTCAAAAAGATTTTTTTTTAATTTATTATTATTTTTTAATTTTATGTGTATGCATGTATTGCCTGCATGTAGGTAAGCGCACCCATGTCATGCTATGCCCACGGAGGTCAGAAGAGGCTGTCGGATCCCCTGGGACTGGAGTTACAGAGAGTTGTTAGCTGCCATGTGTGCAAAAGAACCCCAGTCTTCTGCAAGAACAGTCAGTGTTCTTAACCACTGAGCCATCTCTCCAACCCTTTAGGGTTTTTTTAAACTCAGAAAAACAAGCCAAGCCTAGAAGAGTCAAAGTCCTTATCCAACTAAAGTATTACATATAGTTAAATATCAGAACTGACCTAGACCCTTACACTTTGACCTCCAGGTCAAATGGTGCAATTATTTTCATCCTCGCCGCTCTTGAAATTCTTATTTGCAATGATGTTGAGGGTGTCTATTCTGTTGTCAGATATAGCAGCTTATCTAAAGTTTGACTATGTAAACTACCTAGACTGAAGAGTGGTATACATAGGAGAGTGCAGATATGGTGACATCTTGGCAATTACATTATTTGCTCTTTTTAATCTTTATTATTTTATGTGAATGATTGTTTTGCCTGCATGTATGTAAGTGCACTTGTGTGTGCAATGCCTGCAGAGATCAGAAGAAGGCATTGGTTTGCCCCTGGAACTGAAGTTACAGATGGTTGTTAGCTGTCATGTGGGTGTTGGGAACTGAACCCTGGTCTCTTCAAGAGCAGCCAGTGCCAGTGCTCTTAAGCCATGAGCCATCTCTTCACCCTCTGCGCTTTCTTTCCTTTTGTTTTGTTTTTTTTTTTTTTTTTTTTGGTCTTTTTTGAGGCAGGTCTTCATGGAGCCCCAGATTGGCCTGGAACTTGCTGTGTAGACCAGGCTGTCCTTGCTCCTACAGAGTCACCTGCCTCTGCCCCGTGAGTGCTGGGATTAAAGGCATGCAACACCACACCCAGCTTACTCTCTGCTCTTTTTAAAAATATTTGTGTGTGTGTGTGTGTGTGTGTGTGTGTGTGTGTGTTTGTGTGTGTGTGTGTGTAGGTGCCTATGTGGGCAAAAAGAGGGCATTGGATCTCCTGAAACTGGAGTTAGAGGTGGTTGGGATCTACCAGACATGGGTGCTGGGATCTGAACTAGGGTCCTCTGGAAGAGCAGCAAGTGCTTTTAACTGCCAAGCCATCTTTCTAGCCCACACTCTTTACTCCTAATAGCAACCTGGGTCCACGTGTGAATCAATATTAACTCTGATACATATGAAGAGTGTCTGAAGAATGGGACTCAATATGGTTTGGCATTTTTCTGAAGGGAGGTTTTTCTTTCATTTTAACTCTGTAGAAAATCTTAATCTAGTTTCTCATACTGTTACCCTTAGGATATCACCATCCCTGATGCCGAACATTGCCCGGAAAGTAAAAAAGCTAATGATACAATCCTGCAAAAATTGAAGAACTTTCAGCTTAAAAAGAGAGATTTAGATAAAGAGGTATCGTATTCTTCATTCTAAATCTTGTCCCAGTGGGTAAAAAACATAGCTAAAGCCTCACCGAGCAGTTACTCCTAAAATTTGAAAGTATTTGGGGACCAGATGAGCTTACTATACTTCTCATAAGTAGATATAATATCCAACATTTGACTTATTTGTAACTTAAATCTGTATTAGAAAATTGTACTCATTGGGTCTGTGAGATGTATTAGCAGGTAAGGGTACTTGCCACCAAGCCTGATGACCCTGGGATCCACATGGTGGAAGGAGAGCACCAACTCCCATCAGCTGTCCTCTGACTGCCCCCACTCCCGCACACACTGTAGCATATATACCAACACTATGCACATACATGTAACAAATAAGAGTAATAAAAATTTTAAAGTTTATTTATTTATGTATTTATTTTGGTCTTTTTGAGACAGGGTCTCCCTGTAACTCCAGCTGGCTGGGCACATGCTATATAGACAAGACTGACCTCAGTCTCATAGAGATCCACCTGCCTCTGCCTCCCAAGTGCTGGAACTAAAGATGTGTGCCACCATGCCCAGCTTATTATTTTTATTTTATGTGTATGAATGTATTGCCTGCATGTAGGTAAGTGCATCCATGTTGTGCAATGCCCATGGAGGTCAAAAGAGGGCATCAAATTCCCTGGAACTGGAGTTACAAATGGCTGTTAGCCACCATGTGGGTGCTGGGAACTGAACCCAGGTCCTCTGCAAAAGCAGCCAGTGCTCTTAACCACTGAGCCATCTCTCCAGCCCCAATAGTAATAAACTTTTTAAAGAAAATTTAACAAAAATGTTGATGATTTTATTTCACTTTCACATGGCATTACTGATTCCTAAAGAGAGTTTGTTTGACATTCCTTATAGTGACTTCAAACTTTGTCACTTGGAAACATTTAGAACAAAACAGTTTATTTCCCAAATGGGAAGAAGGGACAAAGCAAAAATATATAGTGTTTCTTCATTTCTTTTTCTTTTAAAAATTTTTTTGGTCTTTTTGAGACAGCACCTTCCTGTAGCCCCAGCTGGCCTAGAACTCACTATGTAGACCAGGCTGGCCTTGAACTCACAGAGATCCACTTATCTCTGCTGCCCAAGTGCTGGGATTAAAAGCATGCACCTCCATGTCCAAATTTTTTTTAATTTTAATTATATTTACTATTGTGTGTTTATGTGTGTGTGTGGGCACACACACACATGCTATAGTGCATGTGTAGAGGTCAGAGGACAACTGGTTCTCTCCTTCCATCATAAGTTCCAGGGATTGAACAGGACCCAGCATCCAGTTGTACCCCTAGCTGTGATTTATTACAGCAAAAGGCTACAAGGCAAAATCAGGCAGGGAGAGACACAGTGGGGCAGAATCAAAACAGGCTCCCAAGAGTCCTGGAGGAGTCACATATCTGTGCATCTTCCCCCAGCACTGGATAATGATCACAGATATAAAAGATCATCTACCAAGAAAGTTCAGTAAAAACCATTTGTTCACAGAATTTTTATTGGGAACATTACCTGAATTCCATCTATCAGAAAGCAAGCAAGTGTTCAGTTTAAGCAGCATGCTATGGGCAGGTGGGTTTGGCCTAGTGAGCCAGTCATGGCACGAGCAGCAGAAACCTGCAGTTCAAGTCCCAGGTGATACACTAGAGGGCCTTGCTTAGTTGTAGGCCTGCTGTGGAAATCCTTTTCCTCAGAAAATTGGTAAAAACATCATGTCTTTCGGAGATCAGAGATTGAACTGTGCATTGTTAGATAACTTTATCATAATGTTTTAGTAGATAATTTTATTTCTTTTCCTCTGAAATACGAAATGTTTTTTCTTTAGCTATTGAAGCACAAAAACAGAATTGCAATGCTCAAAGAGTTAATTGCCAATGAAAAATCATTGCAAGATCACACTGTTGACGTGAGTTTAACATTTGTTATGCTTTATCTTCAACACACAAATACACTGCTATAGATACTTGTGTTCTCTTGGTAAATGTATTGAAGTTATTCCAGATCTAAGTTCTGTACTTCTGTGAATGCAGCCACATATCACTCAATCCTCTCTTTCATTCTTAAGTTAAAATATCTAATGTTGGGGCTGGAGAGATGGCTTAGTGGTTAAGAGCACTGGCTGCTCTTGCAGATGACCTGGGTTCGATTCCCAGCACCCACATGGCAACTAACAACCATCTATAACTCAGTCCCAGGGGATCCAACATCCCTTTCTGACCTCTATGGGCGCGGCATGACATGGATGCACTTATATACATGCATGCAATACACTCATATACATAAAATAAAAATAACAAAAAATATTTTTTAACCTAATGTCAAATGTTACAAGGAATGTGTAAGTAAGTGTACAAATGTATTTAATCTCAGGTCCCAGATTTTGATGCAGATGAAGCCAGGAATGTCAGAGATGCATCTCTGCTCCTGGCAGCCAAGCTGGATAAGTACCACAGTCTAAATGAAGAGCTTGATTTCTTGGTAAGAAAGACCCATTGCCCTGTGGTCATTTTTATATCCAGTACCATTTATTAATAAGTTTTAAGAAATTATCAACCTTAAGAAAATTTGCTTGTTAGGGGCTGGAGAGATGACTCGGTGACTTGCATTGCGGTGACATTACCAACAAAAGTACAGAAGTGTTTTTATGTTTTAAAGTTTTAAATATTGTCCAACCTTGGTTTCTGTATAGACTAATCAGATTTATGTCTTTCAAAGTGCAGAAGCCAAAATTAACATACTTTTTTTGTCCAGTGCTAGAGCACAAACCTAAGGCTTCATTCATGCTAGACAAGCATTCTATCACTAATCTACACCTCATTCTGTCCATTTATTTATTTGTATGTTTAGACAGGATCTCAATATCTAGTTCAAACCAGTCTTGAATTCATGCTCTCCTACCTCAGCTTCTGAAGTTCTGGGCTTACAGGCGTACACCGTGCACAGTTCTGTGGTGTCGCTCCCTCTCCTCATGGGTCGTTGGCCACCGTTCCACGAGGACAAAGGGAGCAGAAGAGACAAATGGGGTCAGGGTGGCCAATGAGCACTGATGGAAGAAAGCCCTTCGGGGGAGGTAGGTTCAGTGATACAAACAGCTCCAGACTCAGTGAAACAGCTCTAGATTCAGTGAAACAGCTCCATTTATTCAGTGGGGGTTAGGGAAAAATATAGTGTGGGGGCAGTAGCCAATGCTTCAGCTGATAGGTGCTCATAGTATGCTTTATTTACATGTGGCAGTGGGCGTCTATCATCAGACCACCAGGCAATGCCTAATTATCATATAGAAAAAACTTGGGGGTAGTTTTCACTCCAGGTATCTATGCCAAAGGTCATGTTCCAAATAAGGTCAGGCATCCCTGCTTGGTGGCACTTTCCAGGTATGTCAGGAAGAGAGCAGGAGGCCCCCTGCTGAGAAGGGGAGTCCTTCCATATAGCACCAAGCCCCTTAGAGCTATCCGGACATGGAGGACTACAACCCTAGCAGCAGGGTTCCCCAACACAGTTCCCTCAAAATATATGCTATTTTTCATAGTGGATAAACATGTTTCTGTTTTTGCATATGCTACTACAAAATAGCTGCATACAATGATCATGAGTGGAAGCAACTCTTAGTTTACTTAAAGTGGCACATAAAGAATACAGGAAAAATATTTTCGAAGAAAATGAAAATCCGGTTTTTTTATTTGGGCAGTTACAGACCAAACTTTAAAAATGGAATTGGGGCCCTGGCCCCGCCCTCACCTCTCTCTGCTTCCCTGGGCCTGCACCACTGGCTAACTCTCCTAGCCTACACTACTATCCTCAGGCCTCTTGGGGAGCACCACTTCTGGTCCTGACCCCACCCTCACCTCTCTCTGCTCCCCTGGGCCTGCACCACCGGCTAACTCTCCTAGCCTGCATTACTATCCTCAGACCTCTTGGGGTAAGTCTATAACGCAGCTCTCCGCGCCAGGACTCCCTAAGCCACATTCCCCCTTCCACCCCTCCCGCCGTTCTATACTCCTTGTTTGGGCCCTGAGCCATTCCT